CTTCCTACTGTTATTTTTTATTCTATTCTATTCTATTCTATTCTATTCTATTCTATTCTATTCTATTCTATTCTATTCTATTCTATTCTATTCATGTGCAACAGAAAGTGCTGTATTAGTTAAGAATTTCTAAGTCACATGATGTATTTCTGTAGAAACAAGTTTCATTCTGGAAGTTAGAGATGATGTGATGCATGTAAATTTCACTCTCAGCTTCCTTCCAGATGCTTTATACTTCTCAAGTTCTCCCATTTGTCCCTATTCTCCTAAATTTTTGTATGTCTAACATAGCAAAATAGAAAAAGGGTAATCTAGCATCTGTTTTGAAACAATTCTTCTCCAGCAATATATTTTGAATACCATGTTCATTTTATGAACATATTTCTTCACAGTTTTGTTATTAATTCTGTTAATATAAAACCAGTGAAGACAAGGACCAGATGCTGGGATAGAATTTACACCAGCTGAAGATCTATTCAGAGTTACAAAAACCTCCTATGGTGAAACACAGCTCAAAGTGTTAAGCCACAAACTGTTATTTCATATCTGAAGCCATGCAGAAAAATAAAGATCTGCATGGGTTCAATGGAGAATTATAAATAAACCTTCACTTAAGATATTTCATGATCCATTTTTGATATCCTGACAAATCTGAGATGATTTTTAAGTTGCTAACAAATCCATAATGGTTTGAGGTTTTGTAACAAAAGTTTTGCCTTGTTTTTTTTTACAGATAATGGACTAAGATTAATTTTACTGATTCTTAGCCACTTCCCTCCACTTTGAATTTATTCTGCATGCAGTCACAGAATATACATATATATACACACACATACATACACATATATATATGAAAAGTACTGCTTATTCATACTGCACATCTAAGATCAGATGCATCCAAAGTATGAAAAGGTTTTCAAATTAAATGGCTTAGTCCATATTAATTCCATATTCTGCAGGTCTATTTTTGGCAATACTACTAGCCTCTGGTTTGCACATGTATTTATTTAATGACGTCTCTGTTCCTTAAATTGCCAATTGTATTGCTGATTTTCTTTTCATGGTAATAGCCCATTTCTTTGAGACTCTTTGTATTAGCTTGTTGTCGAGGTTGTTGTTTTCTGTGTTGGTAGTGGGGTACCTTCTGGTTTTTCCATGAGGTGTTTTCCATTTTTCATCATACTGGAGAGCAGGTAGTTATTATAGAGATTTTAAATTTTTACAATTAAGCCTCACTCCTGCAAAGACTTAGTCATGTTCCTTACTTTAAACATGTGATCTCTTCCACTGAGCCCAGAGGATTAGCATTAAGCACATGTGTAAATCTTAGCACTTTCAGAGACTAGATAACACTTGGTTTTTTATATTTCTGAATCTAAAGGAATTGATCTGCTGATAATTAGACTCTAAGCAGACAGTTTCAAAGTGCATTGCCAATTACAAGAGGATTCATCCTGCAGCAAAGTTCTGATTTGGGACTTACAAAGTCTGGGTCAAGACCTGGCTCTTTCACAGTCTCATGGAAAGCTTTGGATAAGTCACTGAAGTTCAGATACCTGAAGTCCTTCATCTTCCTAATTCCCGAGTTTGAAATGTCTCAGATTTAGGTGCCTTGATGGTCTTGCATATATAGACAAAAAAGTCTTGCAGCTGATTGAAATAAGGCAGGGTGCTACTCCCATAAACAATGAACATGTAAATGTCCCCATCTATCCATGGTGTTACTCCTGTACCCTTGCCTCAGTTCATTACCTGAGTCTTGGTCTTTTTTCTGATGCCACTGATTACAGTTTAGTCTGGTCACTAGGTACTGTAGTCATGAAAATTCATAACAAAAATATAGATGAATAATAGTGAAATAAATATTTAGCTAATCTTTAAACATGTGCTTATAAGTATGTAGAGGCTGTGCTCTACAGCTGCCTACATTCATATATATTCAGCAACACTGGGCTAATTATACCATTTGTATTCTACAGAATTATGGGAGTCTACGGCAAAGTTTCCTGTGTTCTCCTCACATATCTCTTCAGTCGAACATGAGTCAGACCTGCACTGTTTATTACAATATTATTAGCATAAGTTGTTTTAGTAAAGTAGTAAATAATTCATAAGGAGATCTGCAAAAGCAAATATGTTTACCATTTTCCCCACTTTCATTGGGTTTGAAGAGAATTGTTCACTTTCTTCAAATATTTGGTTTAAAAATTTGGTAAGAATACATTGTTTTCCACTCCAGATGACCTGTGCATTTTTTCTTTTCCCAGTAAAACATTCGAAAAACTGGTGCCGTGATGAAAGCAAGGAAAACATACAACCAAGGTTCTTAATCTGTTCTTAAAAGACAGCAGAGTACATGAGATAGAGTGGATCTCAGCTTGCAAGTACCAGAGGCCAGGTCTACAAGGTGTTTAAACAGCTAATTTCCACCAAAGATTAATCGTATGCCTGCACACTGTATTAAATAGAAACAGCACTGTGACACCTAGGCTGCAATCACACCAAGTGATGTAAGTAGGAGCAAATCCGCATTGCAGTGGGCACTATAGAAATTAAAGGGAGACACTGTTCACCAGAGCATTTACAGTTTTATCCTACTTCTTTTAGTTTAATCTCTGTTGGTACTTAGCATTCCAGGCAAGTACACAACTATGGAATAAACACTGTCATGACAATATAGGAGAGGTTTGGACCTTCTAATGGTATCATAGCCCTTTATAAAACAGGTTTCAAAAGGTTATAGTATTTCCAAAGATTAGGATGCCTCCAGACCAGTAAGTTTGACAGCCTAACATATGCCCAGACTGCCTGCAAGCCCCACACAGCACGTCATCCTTCTGCGAAGAAAGAGGCAAGCGGCACAAGCAAACCTTAAGCAAGTACAGTGTGAGCAGATGGTGTTAATTCCAAAGTCAACTCATGCACCTAAATTTGGTTTATCTCAGGAGAGACAAACACACAAGATGGTCGTGTGAGTTTGAACTGTCATTTCCTAGAGCTGGTTTGCCCAAACAGGGATGAACCTTTCAGCTGTTGTTCGAAATGTCAAGTTCAGCTACACCATCAGGTTTAAAGCCTGACATAACTGAATTCGGGTAGAAGCTAGAAGACAAATTTGTTCTGCCAATGAGACAACAAGTATCAGATTGACTTTTATTTACCAAATCCTCACAGACAACAGAAACACCAAGAACTTGGGGGGAGAAGGAAAAACAAATTGAGTATTTTAAAAGACTTATGTTCATATTGCCTCTGAGAGGAGAGCAAACTTCTAAAGGTTACTAAAGAAAAAATAGCTCATTGGAGAGCATTTCTTAATCAAAAAGAATATTTCTGTAATTTGAGCAGTTTAAAAGTAGCCAAGGAGGTCAGTAGTCAAGGGATAACTCATCTCTGCTGAGCCCACCTTAGTCTGGGTGTCCAAGCTCCCATGATGATGAACAGAGGAAAACAAGTGTCTCTAGAGGCAATTCACTTGAAACATGACTTTGGACCCACTGCTACTGGTAAAGTTTATTTCTCTTCCTATTGACTCTGAAAGGGAACTTAAGTACTGTCTTGTTTAAGAACTTAGCTTTTACATGGCTAAAACCAAGTTAAAGTACATATAGAAAATTTATATCCTAATTAATAAAACAGACTTTTAAAAATACAATTACCTTTCTGATATGTTCTTAGCTGAAGCCTTGTGGTGGTCTGAGCCAAACTTCATGGCATGAAATTTTTACAGCTTCTCTTCTGTTGTGAGTTTGTACAGCACCAAGCACACTGCTATCAGACAAATAAAAAGAATAATAAAACTCAATCATGCTTGTATATATAGAAGGCCAATCAATGTAAACACAGGGTCTCTCTAAACAGAAGAAAAGCGGAAGCCAGATGGCATGAAATCATTGATAGCTGTTTCATAAACTTTTCCTGCAATCAAATCTAATTGAAATAACACTAGACTGTAGGCTTGAGCAGGTGGGCAGCACACACAGCTGTTTCTGCTAGATGATTTCCAAAGAATACATACATAAAACATTTCACAGGGACTGACATACGTGAAAAAGGGTTGCCCCAGATGGAATGCTCTCTTTCAGGCCTTATTTCACCGACAGATTTCTGAAGCCTGCCTCTTTAAATATATGGGCAGAAGTGTTTTTCTGGTATTGTTGAACCAATTACAGTCATTTAGAATGCTGTTGGGAGCTATGGCCTGGTGAGGCGGTGTCTTCAATGTCAATTTGTATTTCAAGGCAGAGCAGAGCGGGACCTCCTAGTGTCCAGTTTATTGCTTTGCAGTTAGGTAGAGTAACAAAAAAACCTCTGACAGATATTTCTGTTTCATAGAAATTTGCCAAGGAAAGATTCGACCAGTTTCCTCAGTAGATTATTCCCATTTTCCCTTCAGTAATAGCTAGATCTTTCCTAACCTCTAAGACACTTTTTAATACAATTAAGCTAATGGCCACATATGGTTAAGGAGAGGAAACAGTTAATGTCTTTTTCTGTTTCAATATCTCATATATTGATGGATTTCTAATGTCGTCTCTCCTCCTTCTGTCCTTTTCTGTAGACAAATATCTCATGGTAGAATTCCTAAAGGCTCACATATGAGCCAGAAGAACTAGGTAGATCTTCCTACAGAGGTCCAGCACCCAATGTAGGCTTGACAGTTTGGACTGAATTTTACTTTGAATTTTTGTTTGGACTAGAAACTAAGACTCAAAACAAAATATGGAGAAAGAAAGGAAAATGGGAAAAAGCAATTTACGTGGATCAAATGAGAGCCTGAAATGAGTGAACTGTGTATGTCCACTACCTAGTGCCTTCTGTCTAGATGATGTCATAAGGTTTCTACTCTTTCTTATCTTTATATAAATGTAATGCAAAAGGATCAACATGGTATTTTCTATTATTATTTATATCAGAATCTGTGTTTTTAACAGTTCAATCTAAAGGATTAGAATCTGTCACAGCCTCAGAAAGGGCAATCCAGAAGCAATTGCATAAGTGAACTCTGGTTTCTCTTTAGATTCTATAAATCTCTTGCTTTTTACTAAAGATTTCCATGGGGAGGAACAATTTATTTATAATAGATTTCTAGTACTTAAAGAGGTCTCCAGGAAAAATAGGGAAGCGTTCTATCTGGAAATGTAATGATAGGATGATGGATAATGATTCCAAGATAAAGGTTAGTAGATTTAGATTAGATATTAGGAATAAATTCTTCACTTTGGGGGTGGTGAGACACTAGAACAATTTTCCCAGAGTAGTTGTGGATGCTCCATTCCTGGAAGCATTCAAGGACAGGTTGAATGGGACTTTGAACCACTAGTCTAGTGAAAGTTGTCCCTTCCCATGGCAAAGAGTTTGAAACTAGTTGACTTTAATGTCCCTTCCAACCCCAATCATTCTATAATTCTAACAATAGAATTACATGCAAAGTATACCATTTAATAATGAGTATAGTTGGACTGCAGGAGTCTTTTTGGATACTGCTCTGAAATACAAGTTCTGAGGTTGATGGCAGGCAGCCTTTCTTCCCTGTACCCCATATATTATAAATATAATATTTACTAACATTAGAGGAGGGGAGAGAAAACATCATTACACCACTACAAAAAATCCTAATTCTAAATAATAGGTGTAACTGTGGCTCCCCAGTCCAGAAAAGAAAAGGTAAAATGAAGGGCAACAAGAAATATCAGAGAAATGAAATGGGTTCTGTCCAAAGTGATATTAAACAGGATAGCAATTTTCAGCACAGAATAAAAAGGAGTTTGTGGTTTATAAAATGATGAATGGTAAGGAGAAATGATGGGAATGATGGTTATTGTATCTCATAAGAAAAGAACATGGAGACACCAAATGAAACTATCAGACTGCAGGCTGTACACAAAATGTACTTCTTCACATAATCCATAACTTCAAATGCCATTGCCACAGGATGCTTTGGAAGCCAAAATTATAAATAGGTTCAAAAACATCTAGAGAAACTCATGGAATAAATATCTGCTGTGGGCTGACTAGCACAATGATATGGGTCAGAAAGTCCTGACCTGCAGAGGCATCCCAGGGGGGTGCCACCCTCTGAGCACCCTCCTTGGGGTCATTTGGCTGCCCCTGTCAGAGGGAGTGGGCATGGCGCAACACAGCCCTTTGCTCCTTCTCATGCAGATGCAGATACAGCCCTTGGTTTCTTCAGAAATCAGGTGCAGTTCTCAAGGGAAAACCCACACTCAGAGAAAAAGCAGGAAGAAATCATCAGTAGCCCCAAGTAGTGGGAGCAACCATTTGCAAAAGACAGAGAGAATCAAGCCCTGGGGTGATATGACTCTGCAAGAAATAAATGAGTGTGAAGCAAATGCTTTCAAAGGAACCCATCTCAGCTCTGTGGCAGAGAAAACAGGAACACACAAAAAGAATCAGTAACAAAAGATCCAAAAGAGGCAGTTGATTCCCTGCAGGGGAGGAAACAAAGTGTTTACAGAGATGCAGAACAGTAAATCATCAAAGTGTTCTTCTGAAAATGTTTCAAATGTAATGTTCATTCTTACATTTATACGTCACGCACAATAGAGAGAAAAAAGATACAGCCCTTGCCTTTAAGGGCATTTGGACTCAAGCAGGTGTAGCATATCAAATAAGAACAATAGCAAAACAACAAAGAGGGAAAGAGGAAGGACTGCAGGAGGAGTGGGAGCACAGGGATCATATGTAAGTTTATATAATTGTTTTGGATTACTGGGAAAAATCAACAGCTTGTTTATTGGCTTGTTCTCTTTTGTTTTACTTGCCTTAAACTGAAGTAGTTATTTCAGGCTGCTGAAGGGGTCTATTTTGACTGCAGTCTCATGAAGGTTGATTATGGGAAGGGGTTTGTGGGAGGCAAAGGAGTGAAGACAAAAGAAGAGATGAAGATAAAGAACAATAGATGCAGAAACAGAGAGGACCTGGTGCAGATCCTAGCACTGCTTTCAATAATAGCTTGTATTCATATAGAGCTTTTCAAGCGTAGATTTTGAAGTGTTTTAAATCGAAGTCTGAGTCATCTTATTCATATTATAACAGGACAAATTATGTGTTCAAGGTCACTCAGTGGAAAAAAAATACACTGTAGCCAGGCAGAGGATTCACAGCCCCTGAATGCTAGTGCCATGCTTCCCACAAGCCACGCTGCCCCTCCATCAGCTTGCACTGTCTCCTGCAACACAGAGGTGATGTATTAGAAATTAATTTGTCAGCTGCTTTCTCTCTAAATTATATGCTGAAGCACCATATCAGCCCATTTTCAGACAGAAATGACCTTGGTGGGAACATGTACACGAGGCAGGGATTTACTGGGGGATTTAAGAGGGTTTAAGCTCTCTTCTCCTCCTCATTGGGAACTTACGAGTCCCCAGTATAAAATGTTACCCAGATATGTAAACAGTCACAGCTACTGGAGACATATTAAGACAGACATGTGTGTTCAGGGCCACAGGCAGGCCACCCTCAAGGCCAGATGCAGTCTGCTGAAGTAATGCTTTGCAATACACCCCAAGAGGACACATAATGTCCAAAGTCCAGACATTTACCGGCATGCTTTGTTGTAAGGGAGATCAGAAAATGTCATGCTCGTGGATCCTCTGGAAAGTGCTCTCTTGGCGTTATGGAAGTGCCAACATGTTGATACATGTATGACCTTTTTATGGCATTTGAAATGCACAAATTCTGCTGACTTCCAAACCATTCAGAAAGTCTCTTGACCTAGAACTGTTTTAGAATCATAGAATCCTAGAATGACAGAATATCTCAAGTTGGAAGGGACCTATAAGTGTTGTTTGAATTATTCTACTTATTAATGTTCTGATCACATGTTAGTTTATACACTAAGCAAATGTGGTAGTGCATTTCCCCCCAGGCTCTGCTCCCTGGGCCTCACTATGATCAGAGAACTGCTCATTAGGCCTTGGCCTTGACTAACAGCAGCTGAGCTAAACTCCTCTCGATCTTATCAGAAACACTGCCTGCTTCCAGGGACTTATGATAACGAGCTCCTGTTTTTAACCACCACCCTTAGAAATTTATTTTTCTTGCCTGAGTAGCATCTCTAGTGGAGTAACATTTTTGTCATCAAACTTGCAAAGGTTACCAACCCAAATTGCTGGATGAGAAATTATTATGACTAAAGCCAACTCTCTTGTGACCCTTCAAACAGCAGTCCAAAGTGAGACCCTCTGAGCTCTCCTGGACTGCAGTGGGCTATGACCAGCAACCTCCCTCTGACTGGGCTGCCTGTCAGAGCCAGTGAACTCTCATGTTTGCTGTGCTTGAAGGACCACCTCTGAACAGTGATGACGGACCCTGGGCCACCATCCCCCACTCCCCAAGACTCAACCCCTCGCCCATTTAGAAGGTACAAAGGCATCCAGCTTGAGTATTTCACTGAATTTGAGGGGAATTATTCACGGGTATACCTTTTACATAGTCTTTATGTCTGTGTGCATGCAGTTGTGAATAGGCTATGGTAAATGTACTATTAATGTTACCCTCCTAAATTTTTAAGCACTCTAGATTTGTAAGTTAGGCCTCTGAGTGCTATAGTAAATTCTATATGAATCTTTTGTTAAATTGTTTAACTTAAACTACTGATTAAGTGCTTTTAAGTTTAAGTGCTTTTAAATCTTTAGGCTAAAACTCTTGGTCAAGTCCAGGGCTCAGTTTAGCAAGGAGGTCTACTCTGCACCTTGTGACTCAACAGGAGAGTCTTCCTTGCTCTTTATTATTCTTACTCTTTCCCCCACACACTCCACAGCATCCACATAGATAATTTTTGGGTTGACTTTGGTTTTAGATTGATTGATTTTAGATTTTAATTTGCTTTTTCTCTGTGTACTTTAGCCACCTAATAAGTAGTAGAGTGAATTTTGCCAAGGAACTTCACTTTTATATTAAACCTGGTTTTACCAATACCTTTGCCAGTGATTCTTTAAGCTACCTCAATAATTTAATTGCACAGAGTAGAATTCTTTTTTTTTTAAATACAATTTTTTATCACAGATGTAGTTCAAGAAATCTTTCAAATGACAAAAAATCTGTAATGACAATACTTAATTGTCATCACAAGATGTTATCTATTTAATGAACCATCTAGTATTGCTGGTCTTTTATTTGTCCTTCCTTCCAATTAACACATTTATATTATATTTTAAAATGCAACATTTTCAAAGATTAAATGAAATTTTTATGTGACTGGACCATGCACACTTATGGCAACAGTATTACCTTAACTCATTGCCATACTACAATGGAATTTCTGCTTACCTGGTTCCTTGTAAACCCCTCTCAACAGCTGTGCTGCAGATGTAGTCACACATTCATGTGCAATTGCTTTCTTTCAGCACTGTCTGATCTTCCATAATTTAGAAGATGTTCCTGTTTGTTTTTAGAATGAAATCTTGCCTATATTACATCTACCAACTCAAAATTAACCCAGTATCATTTATATGAATAGATTTACAACTAGTAGCAAGCATTACTCAAGGTACACTCCTTACACAAAAAAAAAGAGAAATAAAAAAACTTGTAAAGATCACAGTAACAATTTTAATGTTTATATCTCTTTTTACTGCTGATGCTAGTCTTACCATGGAGCAGTTTAGAGAGGATTTTTTATAAATATGAAGTGGCTTGAAAGATTTTGGATTACATTTGCTTTGACCTCTTGAACTAGTGGTAGGAATTTTCTCTGCTGAACTAATTATCACTTGAAATTGTTTTGAGCAACTGTATATCATCATCATCATGATTCATTGCTAATCAGAAAGCGAGTGCTGCACAATATAGCAGACATGAAATACACAAACTGTAGGACATCTATTGCACAGAGTAACAATTATTTTTACTCTTTGTGTTTATCGAAAGGTGACTCCAATGTGTTGGCTAATGAATTCCACCCCAGCTGTGCATGATCTTATAATTACATGGTTCAGGCTCCACATCAGCTAATCAAATGTTTTCTTCAGCTCAATTTTGCTGTGATTCAGACCCTAACTCACTAAAGTATTCACCTAAAATCAGGTTTATTCAGTGGCCAGTGGAACTAACTTTGCTGAGTTAAAAGGATGGATACAAGTTCTTCAC